AGGCTTCTAAAGGAGCGGAAAACATTTGTTTAAGCCACTGACTGGCAAATGAATTATTCCCACACCTTTGGCAAATCCTTACTCTCAAACAAACTGCATTCATATGCAGCAAAACTAAAAAAAGAAACCACTCGGGAAGAAACTGTTTATCACCAGACTTCCTGACGTGACGTTTGAGCACCCTGTGCCAAAATCAGAGATGTGCATTCTCAAAAAGGCCCAGTTCAGATTTATGAAGCTAGATAGACTATCCTCACTAACAAAACACAAAACGTACAAGACCATGAGACAAGCTGCACCATTCATGAGCAACCTGTATGTTACAGGGTTTCATGTGTGGCTGTGGGCACATCTCACAGATGTTAGATCAAATTACGATCACTCAGTGTCTGACAGCCAGTCTCCTAACGCGAGTTACTTACACTAGCCACCACCTACGGATTATTTTCTCTTGTTCCCACTTTTACTTTATTTCACAAGCTTACGTTACAGCTTACACTTGCGATGCAGAAAAAAATGAATGACTAGATGGTGAATTGAATCTTAAAAAGAGGACTGTGTGGTGCTTGCAGACTTACCTGTCGTTTCAAGTCCTGGTACCCACGTATGTAGGACTGAATGATAATTGAATTCTTCAGTCGTTTCCTTTCATCCTGAGTAACAAAAGAATACACTTTAGAAACAACAGCATCACTGAAACAAAGGAGACGCATTCGTATGTGTCATTAAAACTAAAATATTCTGTATTTACTCTTTATTTTCACTTGAATTGTGCAAAGTAGTACGACTTGATTTTAACCTTCAGTCATCGAGGGTTTCTTCAAATGACCACACAAGACAGACACACAAACGGAAAGGCTTTTAAGACGTCGTTGCATTTTAAGAGTGACTTGTAAACAAAACGTAGTTACCTCTCTTTTCCGTCTTTCTTCTTGAGTGCGGTGCAGCAGAGAAGCTTTCTCCTCCTGAAAAGACATGCGATTAGAGTACTAGTTTGAACAATAACATGCTTTATCGTCTATGCCAATCACATGAGATAATGAGAGTTTCTAACATAAACTGGACCGTCTGTCTCCACTAAGAGCAGCACATGTTGTCACCGCTTCATTTCTCCTCGCCTGAAACATTTTCTCAGTCAAATCAAAGGGACACATACCTTTTTACTTGCTCCTCCAAGTGATACCTTGGGTCTTGTCTTGAAATCTCCCTCAAAGCTAAACATTGTTAGATTTTTCCCATTGACTGACTCAGGGGTTGCCACTTGTTCCTGAAAGAGAAAGAGAAAGTGAAAGGAGCTCAAAAAGCCCTCATCCAATCCCCAATCAAAGAGCACAAGAGCAAAAACAACCTGACTGCTCGTGACTTGGCTCTAACTTACAACCAATTCACTTAAGATGCTCGATACTTAAAAACCCCCCCAAAGCAAGCTCCTGCACTCGCTGTCTTTAACCGATTAGGACCAAAATAAAACAGGCCGTGAACGTCAAGGTGGACCTCTCTTTAACCACTAAGGCAGAAAGGTGAACTTCGAGCTCATTATGCGGCTGACAGCTTCACTTTTGCTCGCAACAATAGTTAGCCAGCCGGTTCACATAGCTAGCTCATGACTCAGCAGCTGTCCTTCACGTCGCCGTTCACGTTACCCGACTTGCGAGCAGCGACGGAGACACAAAACCACACATTTATTCATGACACGTCCCCAGCACTGATTCATACATTTGTGAGCCACTTGATTTTGTTGACGTTAGCACTGCGGCTACCTAGCAGAGCAGCTAAGGGACTCTGGCAGGCTAACTTTACGGGGGGGGGGAGGTGGGGTGTCCTTTATGACACCGCTGTCGTTACAGGGACACTCGTGTGAGAATTAGAGTCGTTTACCTTCGAGGTTTGAGTTAAGGAGTGAAACGGACACAATAAGACAGGGAAGGCAGTGTAGGGTTATTCCAAACGTCAAGTCTTCTTTTTTGCTTCTCTCTCTCTCTCTCTCTCTAGAAAATCAACACAACACAGGGAACAGCTAACTTTACTGCATCCGGTTCCGGCGATATCTGGGCGCTGATTGGACGGAATTCGTGTCAATAATATCCGAGCGGCTAAGACCCGCCTCCTCGCCCAGATGCACTGAGAAGGTTCTGTGACGTGTGTGTGTACTGTTTACATGTATTCATAGTCTGTGGTAAATGTAATGATCAAAGAGCAGCTTCACGTTAAGTTATTGGTTTATTGATTTGTTTTATTTGCACTGTAAACAATATCACGTAAATTCAGATTCAGATTCAGATTCAGAAATACTTTAATAATCCCAGAGGGAAATTATATTCGTTACATACTCCAGATACAAATGACATAT